GTAGTCAGTTAAACAGATAAAAATATACATACACAAACTTTCCTACTCCTCCCAGGATTTTAAATGTCTAGCTATCCCTCTATCTCTATATCTCTTGAGGGACTGTGTTAAGGGCTAGAATCTAATCTTCTACAAAAATTACACAAAATACCAGAAAAGATAATATTATATAATATAATATTAATTTAGAGTCTGTGAAAAAATGACACATTGCCCAGTATAAGTAAAATACTAATATGGTGCAATATTTTACACCCTCTACAAAAATAATGGTTTATCCCTCGATACTAGCATATTTTGATTATGTGTGATATAAGCCTATGGCTTAACACGTTTTTATCTTCTTTGAATAAAGTTAATTTATTATTTTGGAGAATTTCGCAAAGCCTCTACCATTAATTGATGTATTTTACTGAACTGGTACATATACAAACAGCTCTCATTCTCTTCAATAATAATGGTCACTTTGTACTGAAACATCCAATCCACTTCAAACTTATTATTTTGGTATGTAAATCTGCAGCTGAAATGACATGGGGCTGGAGAATGACCATGATGTCATTCGACTGTGATAGACATGAGATAAATTTGAGTATGAATCACACTTATAATATATGCATGTAATCGTATTCAGTTATTAAGTTATTACTTTTTTTTTTCTTCAAGTAATTGCACAAACCAAATTCCACTTCCGAAATCCATTGTGCCAGAGAGATTATTGCCCACACAGTACATCAGTACTCTTTGAAGCAGCGACTGTTGATGAAGATGGAGACTATGTTGTTGCTAGGAAACCAAAGGCATCAAATGACAAAGATGATATATTCATAGTAATTGGTGAGAGAATAGTTTTCACTTGTTGATCTTTAAATAAATATACCGGTACCACTGGCCCAGAAATAAATTACATTACGTAATTATTTATAACTGCTCGCTGGTCTACTTTTCTCAGTACATTCTTATTGGTTGAAAGACATCTGAAATGAGACTCTGGTTGAGACGCTGATGAAAAATGAATCCCGGTAAGTTTTGTCACAGGATGTTAAGTGATGGAGAACTGAGAAATATACACATTACTTTTTTCTAGATAACGTATTTAAAATTCATTTTATTTTTGTCTCAGAGCTCACATGTTTGATTTTTCTGGTGAGAATGGCTCGTACAAATTCTGTGCACAACCAGTGTGAGGAACACTGAGTGTGTTAATACTTCCCCTGGGTTTCATTTAAGTACTTTTTTTAGTACAACCTAGTTTGTGTATGGTATTTATCACTTGATTTGTCTTTTGTGGCCCAAATTGCAAATATGCTTTAGTGTGGATTTATAATAGTGTTTGTGATTTTGGAGCAATATACCAGTAGAAATATCTCACAGTAAGTTTTAAAAATGTGGGGCAGCAAAATAGCAAATTTTTTTACTAATTCGCCAACTCCTTTGGTTTTTAACCCAAGCACATGACCCAAAATTTTAATATTACGTTTCGTTCTGTCACCATTAAATGTAAGTCATCTTTAAAAAAACAATATTTTAAAATAACTTGAGGTTAATTAGGTTTTTACAGGGTTGAATAATATGCAAAATTGTCGAATCTGCTTTAATCAAAACCAAAGTTGTTAGTTATTGAGCAACTTAGTGCTCCAATACTTCTAAGATATGTTGTGAAATCTTAATAGGCAGGTTTCTTTTTTCTAAGATCTTATGGGAATTCTTTTGTGATAGAGCCTTTAATGAAGTATTTCTATTATTACTGACCAGTGCTTGTGACCAGTGTAGTGGTTCATAATAGAAGGCCTTCAACACTGGACATTGTTTGTTCGAATCAAATAACCGCATGCAATTATTCTAGTTTTTGTTTTGTT